GGAGGGAGGAGACTGCCTGGATTTCAAAAGAATCTAAAGTAAAACTTGAACAAGACTTCTAAAAGATACATTTTAACTGAGATTGCAACTAAATAGTAACCCCAGGAAGAGAAAGTGGAAAAAAAAGAAAGTGAAAAAAGAAACAGCTGTGTGTATTTGGACTGTCTGGTGACTTTTGGCCTTTTGGTTATTATACTTGAATGACTAAAATCAATTGGGTGGTTGTTTATTTTTTTTTACAATGGCATCACTTCGGGATGAATTGAAAATGAAACTTAAAAAATACAAAGAAGATGCACGAGAAGGGAAGGGCTCTTTTGGCTTCGTTTTTCAATTCTTAGAAATGGAGATCTGCAACTATGATAAACAACAAGAAAAGACTTCAAAACAAGAAGACTGGGACAAAGAAGAAGCCATCTTTAATGAACAAGTAACTCTATGTGGGGAAGAAAGGGTAAAGGGGGGAAAAGAGAATGGAGAATTTAAGACTTAAAAAACAGCCAAAGAAGGGAAAAATAATTTGAAAAGTGGATATAATGTTGGAAAGCAACAGAAAAGGGGAATAAAGAAGAGGGAAATGGAGGTGGAGAGACAGTGGGGTGAAAAGGGGAGAGAGAAGAGAGAGGAGAAGGAAAGGAAGAGAAGTTACAAAGGTTTGGAGCAAGATGTAATGAAACAGGACCTATTTAGAGATAATGGGTGAAAATCTAACTGAAAAAGGGATTCTGTGAAGGTACATAAGATTGTATTGTTATATTTGTAATAGAAATAATTTTAGAAAATTGGAAACAACATATGATTAAAAAAAGGGATAAAGTAGTATGTGTGGTTTGGGGAAATGTTTGTGAATAAAATAAATGAAATAAATGAGAAAATTGAATTAGGAAGGAACGGGAACATTTTAATTAGTCAATGTTTTATAAAATATAAGTGAAGGGGGGGGAATCAACTATGGAAAGTTTATTATTGTTCCCATAGAAGTATGATATTTACTTGAAAAGTAATGTGCAAAATGTTAAGATCTAAATGAATATTAATATTAAGGATAGAATTGAATTGGAATGGATTGTTGTTTAATTATATTATACATGTATAATTTTTTTTTCAAGAATACAATGTGTAGTTTTAGAATGTGCCAAGCAGAATCCGAATGGAAGTTATGTATTTTATTAAGTGTTATAATTTTAGGGGAAAGATATAAAGGCGTCATACTCCAATCAGTGATTACAGGAGAAATTCTGTTTAATGAGAAAGGATAGTAGATCATTGAAACAGGACAGACAAAGAATATAAGTACAATGATTTGAACTGAGATGAAATAAATAAAATAAAATTAAGAAAGTTAAAAGAGGGGAGAAGCTATGTAGAAAATGTAGAATAGTAATAGGATATGGAATGGAATATAAAAATGAGCATGAATTTGAATTTGTGTCTGTACAAAGAGATGTAACCCGGGATTATGCTGCTTTCAAAAAAGATGTTTTACTTGTATTTCTTTTCTTTTCGTGAAAACTCAAATAAAACTTACAAAAAAAAAAGAATAAATCCGAAAAATGCTGGAAATGTCATCAGACACCTGGCTCATATTACCATATGTGGTGGACATGTCTGGATGCTAAAAAATATTGGACTAAAATCCACACGTGGCTGGAAAAAAATGACAAATAAGCATATAGACTTGAAACCAGAGATTTTTTTATTGGGAATTTTACCTGAAATATATAGTAAAGACTTGAAATACCTGATTGTAAATGTATTAACAGCGGCTAGGATTGTATTTGCTAAAAACTGGAAAGATGAGAAAATACCACCACAGGAGAAGATCATTAAGAAAATATTGGAATGTGCTGAAATGAGTAGATTGACAGTTGAAATTAGAGAACAGGATGATAAACAATTTTATAAAATTTGGGATCTATTCTATCAATGGTTAGATAATAAAACATAGTAATGAAATATGTAGATTCTTAGAAAATAATAAATATATGTATTCTTTTTTTAAAATTATATCTATAAAATGATTCTAGGATAGATCTGGGAGGATAATATGAACCGTTATAAAATAAATTAAGTAAAATATGATTATCTTATAAAACATGAATGAATAAAAGTATAGTCAAACGTTTGATTAATAAAGATATTAATGTACTTAATATTTGATTGAAAGTATGAGATTACAATGTAATTGTAATTGAAGACTATGAAATGGAAGCACAAAACAATTTGTAAACCAACCGGCACACTGTATGTATATATATGGAAGATGGCTTGATGTTTTTATGTTTTGTTTGTTTATGTTTCTTTTTAAAAAATTAATAAAAAAAACAACCAACAAATGTTAAAATGCTGGATGGTGCTGGATTTCCGGAAGCAGAGAGAGGAACCTGCCCCACTGTATATCAAGGGGGGCTGTGGGGGGAGGGTTTCCTCTTATAAATTCTTGGGAGTGCTTATTAGTCAAGACCTCACCTGGAAAAACAACACCTCCCTGGTGGTTAGGAAGGCTCAGCTGGGACTCCATTTCCTTAGAGTCTTTGGAAAAAATAAGGTGGAACTGCTGATGACCTCTTTCTATCGGTCCACGATAGAAAGTGTCTTTGCATGCTATGTAACAGTATGGTAGGCTGGTTCAACAGTCCCGGACAAGAAGGCACTACAGAGAGTACCCCACCTCTCCTTTAGCAGAATGTTTGGATCTATAATTGATCGGGGGGAGCAAATGTTGGCTTCTCCCCAGTTTTTAAAAACTTTCTCTTCTCTTTAACAGGATGCTGGGATCAATTGGAATTAATCTGGGTTCGTCCAAGGGATGTTTCCTTTTCAGTAAAAAGAATTTCCCCTTTAACGAGCTGGTTGGGCTAATAATAATGGATCGGGGCTCAGTCCCGCGAATTTTTCCTCCTCTCCAATGTGTTCTCTTTAAAATACTGCAGTTCTTCTTTAAGAAGCCAGCGAAGACGAAAGCAGGAGCACCAATTCACTTTGGATTCCCGCCTGGGAGTCACCTGATTCGGAGGGAAAGGCGCGAAAACAGCTTTCTCTTTCCTTTTGGAGGCGGCGATGGCGGCCGGAGCCTCCTTGCAGGATTTGCTGGAAGAAGCCACCTGCTCCATTTGCCTGGACCTTTTCCAGGACCCCGTGCTCATCCCGGAGTGCGGCCACAACTTCTGCCGGGGCTGCCTGACCCGCAGTTGGGGGACGTCGGAATCGGAGGCTTCCTGTCCCGAGTGCAGACAGACCTTCGCGCCCCGCAGCGTCCTCCCCAACCGGCAGCTGGCGCGCATGGTGGAAGTGGCCAGGGGATGCAGCCGCCATCCGGGCGAAGAAGGGGGGAGCTTCTGTCCGAAGCACCAGGAGCCCCTCAAGCTTTTTTGTAAGCACCACGAGACCCTCATCTGCGTGGTCTGCGACCGATCCAAAGAGCACAAGGGCCACTCGGTGATCCCTGCGGAGGAGGCTTTCCAGGAATACCAGGTAGGAATCAGCCAGGAGGAATCGCTGCGGTTGGGGAGCATCCAGATCCTTGGCCTTCCTGTCAATCCTTAGATCACTTTACTTGCTTCCTCTGTTGTCCACAAAATGGGTTTAGCCTTGAGCAGATCCCGATCAGAACCAGACAGGAGGTTCTGCTTTGGAGATCTTTGTGGCAGCCCCTGAAATATTGCAAGATTGCTATCATGTCTTCCCTAATCCTTCTTTTCATTAAACTGGACATACCCAGTCCCTGCAACTGTTCTTCATTTGTTTTAGCCTCCAATTGAATTATTTAATTGAAATACTTTAGCAAAAAGATCTCAGGAGCTAAAAAAAGAGCTGAGACCCCTAACCATATACAAATAGAAATTTTATACACTTAAGATCCAGAAAGTTAACACCCTAAGAATCACTCATTGGTTCCCTGACATGTATTTTTTTTCTCCTCCCTCATAAATTGCATATTTTATACTAATAAGCTTTCTTATCAAAAGGGGTGTGTATTTTATTATTATAGTAAGTTACCAAAGTGTATGTCTATGTGCCTTAGCTAGCATCCTTCTAAGCTGAATCCTTCTAACTACCTTGTTATTTTCTTGTTGCTAGGCAGCAGTGTCCCCCCCCATTCATTAATGGTCTTATTACACTCATCTGCAGCTTTCTGCCTGGGCCATTCCTTTAACAAACTTCCCTGATTCCAGCCTGAGATCTTCACCTCCTGCTTTATATCCTCTGTGGCTACAATTTTTTGAAGATAGATTTCCCATATTCCTTGACTTAAAACCATTTGTTTCATGACTGTTCAAAGTTACAAAACCATTGAAAAAAGTGACTTATGACTGTTTTCACACTTATGACTATTGTAGCATCCCTGGTCACCGATCGAAATTGGGGGGATTGGCAATTGGCAGGTATTAATGATGGTTGCAGTGTCCCTGTCTTGCTTAGCAAAGGAAATTGTCTGTAGGGAGAAATAGGCTCCCTTTGCCAGCTCCCTTTCCACATTTGCTCTAGAGCCAAATTGGCATGGAGTCCTCCAAAATCTTGAGTGCAGACCCTGAAAAACATTCCTGCTGGATCAGCCCAAACTTTCATTTCTCAGTGATGCTTCTGGGATGACTGCAAACAGGAGACTCAGGCAGCTCCATTTAATGTCATTGCAGGTAGTCCTTGGACTTATAACCATTCGTTTAGTGATGATTCGAAGTTACAACGACAACGGAAAAAGTGTCATAAGATTTTTCACCCTTGTGAACATTGCAAGCATCCCTGTGGTCACATAATCAAAATTCAGACGCTTGGCAACTGCCACGTATTTATGAGGATTGCATCTATCATGTAACTGGGTCTTCCCTCCAATGTAATTCTTTACGGAACTCAAAAGTTGTATTTTCTCTTCAGATCAAGGTCAAGGATTGTCTGAAGGCTCAGAAGGAGCAGAAAGAAAAAATAGCTACTTACAAAAGAGACACAGAGCAAACAGTGCAGGAGATGCTTGTAAGTATTGATCCAATGCTGAGGAGCTTCTGAGCTAATAGGAAGGAGAACCCCATCCGCCATCTTAGATAATAGGCAGCCTGTTTGCAAGTACAAGTTCTGACTTAAAGGAAATTCAAGCTAAAGACAGTATTAGGACACAGAACTTGTTCTTAACCTGGGGACTGAGATGTCACCATTGCCTGAATGAGTCACAGTTGGGTTAAATGCAGCTATCCCATGAGCCGTCTTTTCTACAACGGGTTTGGTTGGCATAATAAATGCAAACTGTATTTCATCTTATTGAAAAAAATTGTGAACTCAAACATTTTTCTGTCTCCCTTTTTGGAATCCCTGATTGCCAAGAAAATTTTCATGAGAGATCATTTAAACCGAAACCTTTTTCTTTTTAGAAACCTTCCCCTCTGCCCCTTTTTTTATATCAAAAGGGTTATTTTTCTCCTTAGGAAAGTCTCCCACCTCAATTCTGGAAGGGAATCTGTTTAATTATTATAGCAGTTAAAATAAAAATAATTAAGTAAAATAATTAAAATAAAAGTATGCCTTTCTTGTTCCAGGATCTCATTGAAAAAGTCAAAAAAAATATAGTGGCTGAATTCAGAGAACTACAACTCTGGTTGGAAGGACAGGAGAAGCTTCTATTGACTAAAATGGAAGAGACGGAGGAGGATATTATGGCAAGAAAGGAGAAGGGTTTGGCCAAGCACATGGAGGAAGTGCGCTCTCTTGACCATCTCATCCAGGAGATAGAGGAGAAGCTTCAGCAGCCAGCCAGCCAACTCTTACAGGTCAGGACAGGAAGTGGAGATCATAGAATCCTTGGGCTGGAAGGGACCTTGGAGGTCTGCTAGTCCAATCCTCTGCCCAAGGCAGGAGTCCTTATTCCATCCTGAAAAAATGGTTGTCCAAACTGTTATTGAAAGCCTCCAGTGATGTATAACCCAGAACTCAGGGAGGCTTGCTTCTTGTTATTCCCTCAGGTGCTATGGAGAGTAAATCCATGCCCTTTTCCCTATGAGAGCCCTTCAAGTATTGGAAGGTGGCTGTCGTGTCTCCCCTAAGCCTTCCCTTGGTTAGGCTAAGCATACCAAATTCATTGAACGGTTTGGCCTCCAGAGCCCTTATCATCTTCATTGCTCCGCTCTGCATACTTTAGCTCCTCCACAGAATACTCTTTTTGACTCTTTCCTTTTTTTCCCATAAATTTAATCAAAAATATAATAGTGAAAAGTACAAATGAAAATAAATAAGTGAAATGGAGAAGGATAAGAACGGGATAGAAGTGTAGGATAAAGGGAAAGAAAGCGTCTTTTTTTCTGTACAGTAAAATGCAAAATAAAATTACCGCCTCAACTTTTTATTTTTGCATATCTAGTCATTATTAGCCATGTCTATAAAAACAAATTAGCCTAAGAAGCAAAATCAAGCATCGAGAGTTCATTTTTTCCTATCTCGAGCACAAAGTTTAGAAGCAGCTTCCAAGTACAAATAATGGGTCATATCTAATTAAAGCAGTCTTTTTTTTTTTTTTTTTCATTTTTTCTGGCGCCATCACTTTTTCCATTCTTTCTTCTCTTGTGGAGATTGAGATATCTTTCCTTGTCTGCATTCTAGCTGCACTTGACAAGGTTCAAAATCTTTTTTTAACTCCTCATTTAGTAATCTTTTGGACTCTTTCTATGGAAAGGAACAGTCACTAAATGAACTACAGTATTTCATCAAGGACTAAATGGCTTAAATAAGTTAGAGCCGGCTCCACGTGCACCAACTTATCTTGTATTTCCTCTGCCAGACCATCTTGGAAAGTGTCCATTTGGGCTGCCTCATTCCATGCAGAGTCCATGCAGAGCAGACGAAACTCTGAAATGAACTCCTGCAATGGGCGTTTCCCCTGGCGAAGTTCCTTTAAGCGTCTGGCGGCGGTCTGAGCTTTTATGGGGTCCTCATACATCGAGCGTAGATGGTGCCAAAAGCCCTGATAGTCCGTTAGTAAGGGACTATTTTGCACCAATAACGGAGTGGCCCACCTAGCAGCCGAACCCGACAAAAGACTGATAACAAACCCCACCCGAGCCCGGTCATCAGGGAAATCTTCTGGCCGAAGAGACATAAATAATTGACACTGCCCCATAAAAGCCGGGAACATTTCAGGCTATCCAGAGAATTTATCCGGCACAGCTACTGGGCATTTCCTACGGGGAGGGGCAGGAGGAGCAGCAGGAGCTTGCATCAGCGTAAGATGGTTAACCAGCTGGGTGACTTGTTTCTGCAAAACCTGGTTATCTTGCAACAGTTGAGATATCTGCTGCTGCTGCTCTAGCTGTTTTTGCTCCATCTTAGTCAGAATATGGAATTAAGGGTTCGGATCAAAAATGTTCTGTCTCACCTGTGGCCACGAGGTGAGAGTCCAAATGTCCAAAGGAAAATATACAAACAGAAAAAACCAGGAACAACAGAGTTAACTTTCCTTTGTCTGAATTCATTGTTGGCAGTTTTCCCAGAAGCTGTCAGCCAATTATGATAACGAACAGCACTATAAATCAGAGATGAATTCCAAACAGGATAAATTGTCCAACTGCAAACGCAAATCAACAAGTTGATCCGAACAGGGCTTCAGAGCTAACACGCCTCCTTATATTTCCTGAAGGGGCGTGTCAGTCTCTTACTCAGTCCCTGATTCGACGTCTCCTTCCAGTTTGTGCTTGACGTTTCTGCTTACATCTGTTCCTTGCATCAAACCAAGATTCTTCGGTTTGATCTTCATCCAAGGGCTCTGGCACGTTCTCCTGATTATCTGCCGACACAGGTGTAACTAATGAGGAAGGTCCGGGAGAGGATGAAGATTCCGAAACTTCCAGCAAAGCAGGTTCAAACCCCAATGCCCTATCTTCCTCTTCCTCCTGACTCCCATTTGTGTCACTCAACAAGGCAGGCTCAAACCTTAATGCCTATGTCTTCTGACAAAGCAGGTTCAAACCTCCTAGTCACAACATTATATATATAATCTGTAATTGTGTTGGATTCAACCGGGTTATAATTTTTCTTAGGCAAAAAAGTAAAAACAATACCTCTAAAAGGTTGAACAGCTGGGGAAAAAAGAGCAACGGGAGTTTTTTTATTTAAAAAAAATGGAAGTACTTTATATGTCTGTTAGTGTCTGGTTGTCCAGATGTTTCACTCATTTATTTTGTGAATGTAAGAATTTAATTTTCTGCATAGGAAGTGGCTCCTTTCAACGCTTCGTCTCTTTGTTTTTTAGGACATTGGAAGCATCTTGAAGAAGTAAGTAAATCCACCCTTTTCTTTACAGTCTCAGAGATTTGTAGATCCTCCAGCAGTTTTCCTATTTTGGAAAGTGCTGGTTGTATTTAGCAGTAGTTTAATGTAAAGAGAACTTACTGTATTTCAGGGCTTTTTAGACATATCCTCAGATAACTTCAACACAATATAATTAGAAATATTTGATATGATTAAGTATTATGGTTGGTTTCACAGATGTTTAGATTGAATTTGGCATTTTTACCCACCTACTGAATCCTTCCCAAGAAGAGACAGATGTTTGATGGTTTTAAAGGTATTGTAGGATGTAAGCTGCCCATTGACTGTTTCATCGCTCCGTAGCCAGCACCTCGAATGTGGAACCCGCGCGCGGTGAGCCTTGCCAAGTCTGGGGGGGTGGGGGAGAGGTGGGAGGTGGTGGAAAGAGGGCACCTTAGCTTGCAGGCTGCCCTCTGGTGGAAGCGGCGGAGGCATGCCAGAAGGCCCGAAAGCAAAACCCTCCCAAGGCGTGCAGTGGAAGAGGTGGGTGGTCCGGCGTTAGGACCCCCTTACCCGGAGAAGAACAAGGGAGCACGCAGCGCCCGGCCGGCCTCCGCCTCTCCAGCCAGCTGGGCTTGCGTGCAGGAAGCGGGTGGGTGCAGCTGCGGCTCTCCAAGGCGCGTGGCTCGGTTCGGTTAGGCTCTACGTGGCCGTCCCAGACCTAGAACCTAGCCTCCCTCTGCAGCCGGTTCTTCCGACCGAGCCCTGCGCTTGCTTGGTTGGTTTCCAAGCGATTGTTCCCTCCACCTCCCCTGGTCTGGGCTGCTTCTGCACACCTTCCTCCTCCCGGGCGGAGCATAAAGATGGGCGGAATGCTTCACTGAAGTTGGGAGTCTCTGAGCGTGTGCAGAGTACCTCCCCTTGCTTGGCCCGATGGAAGTGGACCTTGGGTTGAAGCAAAGAGAGTGAGGTCAGCTGCATCGCTGCCCCAGGGAGGTTGGCATTGCAAAATTGGATGCCAAAGGGGGCTGGAGAAGGGGCAGAGGGGCAGCTGCAGGGGGCTGGAGAAGGGGCAGAGTGGCAGCTGCATTAAGGAGCAGGAAGATCTTAGCCATGGTTTATTCATTGACTAAGCCAGAATCAAACAGCATGCTAAACTCTAAACCAGAATGGCTGGGTTGATATATTCAGCCCGTGTTTCTCAACCTTGTCAACTTAGT